CCCACAAGATGAGTCCCTCCCTGTAATTTTAACAAATCAGTCAATAAGAAACTTAATCCCACTAGAAATGGATGTACCTCAACAAGACAAATTAAAAGGAGAACATCCAACCACCCTTCCAATACTGGTGAATTATATAAACACAAAATCTTTTACAAAATAAAACATATTTTCAAAGTGAAAAAGAGTTCATTCCGGTGCAAAATGCATCATACAAAAAATTTTTTTTTGAACATAACAAATTCGATCATAATACCCGTTCGAAGTCACAAAAACAAAAGTTCTCAAAAAATCATCATCACGAATCAAAATAGTTCACAACGTTTCGATAAAAAAGAGATACATCGTTCAAACAAAAAATGCAAAAAATTCTTTCGCATACAAAAATGAGGCACATCAACGGATCGGTAACAAAAATGGTAAGCTCAAAAAGAAAAAGTATCAAACAAAACCATCCGTTACAGATCTCACGACATCTTTTTCCAAGATCCATCTCAGACCTTGCTTACCAACAACATAAAAACCAGTCGGGGTTTTAAAAATCACCCAGCCACGATAAGAACAATTTTTGATAACAACCATCGATGTAGCAGAGGCCTTCTCACCACGTTGATCGAAATCATATACCCTGTGGCACAAGATGTCCATTAAGAAGCATTCGTCAGCAAGAAACCGGGGGGACGGAACCAGAAATCTGAAAGTATATCAAAAGAAAAAACATTGTAAAATCAAAAGTTAAATTATTTTTCGAGAATACAAACCTGAACACATCCCCTTGTTCACCATGCAGCTCCTTTGAGACAGAAAAACTTTCCATCCCATTGCAAAAGACTGATGGACCATTAGAACCACAGTGAATATGCTCCTCAAAAGGAGACTTCCCAGGAATAATATTACCATCTATTCCCCAAGAAGCAGCTTTACCCGCACAAAGATGAACAGGATAATCAGTAAATCCCAACCAGGTTAACCCAATTCGAATACAATTACTGTGATCCCTGGCGAAAGCCAACAAACCTCTTGAAGAGATATGACCGAAACCTACCATATCCCCATGGCACAATGATTTAGCTCTGTTTATTTCCTAGCCTCTATGTTGGCTGGAGGTTGGGTGTACTAGTCCTAGTGAAAACAAGTTTATGGGCTAGTTTCTGGAGTTAGAGTTTATATTTTTGAAAACTATTTAGGATCCCGCCTCCATACGTTCGTCAGGACCAACATAATGCTCAGCCCTAACTGGCGTTAAAGGTAACACAGTAAGGTAATACAGGAACACCATTCCGGTCGCAAACAAGACCAATCGGGCACTCCTTTCTCTTCTTTATGCAGGGGGGAGATGCCCCCATAGCAAAAACGCAACAATTAAAAGCCTCAGATAACTCACTAAGAAAATCTTCATAAGCTTTAAAAAAGTCATCAAAACAGTTAAATTGGCAATAACGATCCGCGCGAATCAGCTGCTTGATATCGTTAGTACCTCCCCTAACAAAAACCCCATCAAAGATAAACGACTCATCCAGTTTAAGGTCCGAATAAATCCGATTTCGTAGGTTGGTAGAAGACATCGATCCATCCCCACAGACCACGGACCAGCCGGACATAGACCACTGAAAAATATCAATAATGTTAGCAATATTTCAAAAATTAACATTATCAAAAATACCTGATAAATGTCGACATCCAAATCCTCAACCAAATGCGAAAAATTTGGAACAGCACGCTCAGTCCGTTGATCAGCACGAATCCGGGTACGAAAAGTAAAATCCTTTCCACGCAAATGAAAAGAACTGCATAAAGATGTTGCAATGATACCCCATCAAAAATAAACGACTCATCCAGTTTAAGGTCCGCATAAACCCGATTTCGTAGATTGGTAGAAGACATCGATCCATCCCCACAGACCACGGACCAGCCGGACATAGACCACTGAAAAATATCAATAATGTTAGCAATATTTCAAAAATTAACATTATCAAAAATACCTGATAAATGTCGACATCCAAATCCTCAACCAAATGCGAAAAATTTGGAACAGCACGCTCAGTCCGTTGATCAGCACGAATCCGGGTACGAAAAGTAAAATCCTTTCCACGCAAATGAAAAGAACTGCATAAAGATGTTGCAATGATGAGGACAGCCCTTCTCTTCGAATTTTTTCTCGATTCCGTGGTAAAATCCAACTTCGCGGTACTAAAGTCGAAATCAGCAACCAAAGTCCCTGGAACTGGCAACGGAACCTTAACTTGATTGGATTTCAGCTCCTTGAAGACAGCATCAGTTAACTTCATTGATTTTCCAACATTATTGAAATACGTCGGAGAATTGTCGGGCATGAATTTTGATACTTCAAAAATTGAACTCCAATGACCTATTATAACAAGATAATTAATAACAATTCGTCATTTAAAAACATTTCAAAAAAACATACGAAATGGGCGGTCGCCTTCATTTAAATCCAATCCCAAATTAAATTGAAGAATCTCCTCATCTCCAAGACCAGCAATTGCCCCAGTCTCATTTCTTGAAGTACCAGCCATCTCATCAACAATTGCAGGGGTACAAGGGATTCTCTCCACTTCCTCACTTGGTCCCAAATCCACTAAGGATATATCACAAAAAAAAAGGGATTAAAACAAAAATTCTAAAAAAATAAAAAAAGGGTATAAAAATAATCCACACCTAAATCAGAAGATTCAGAATTAACTTCCAAATGATCGTTTGAAACGATAGATATGAAAAAATATACATTTATTTATATACCATATGTATAACAAAAGTTCTTGGAATAGAAATTGACATGGCCTATAATCGAGCTGAAAAACAATTATGCCTTAGGAAAAATATATTTCAGAAGATTCAGAATTAACTTCCAAATGATCGTTTGAAGATCCTTCCGAAATCTCAGCTCCCTTCTCTGACACAGATAAGTCCGCTGGCGTGGGAATGGTCAAATGTCCGCACCAAATCTTCTTTAACGATTCGAATCCGCCGATGTTCAGAGTAACGCCACCAATCCTTGCTTCACAATGGTCATCTGATAAAATTACAAAAAAGAGATTTTTTATCAAAAGGTCCTTTACAAAATATCTTTCCAAACTCACCAAAAGTTCTCAGATAGTCACCATCAAGAATGTTTAAGAAAAAAGTCCGCTCATTCGAAAAGGATCGCAAAAAAGTCTCGCGATCACAAAAGTTGATAATTTTAAAAGAATCGTTCAACTTAGTCAGAGCTGTGTTGCATGCGAGTTCAGATTGATGTAATATTTGACGACGAGCACTAAGATCCACATTTAAATCATGCTCCGAACGACTTAATAATGCATGCTCTTCCTCCACTAAAGCTAGACGAGCTCTCTTCCTACTGATCGAAACGCGTGCCCCCTCAACAGTCTTCTCATAAAGAAAATCACTTTTCACAACACTACATAGTTCCACTAGACGTTTCCAGGTCCTCAGATCAGCAGTCTCCAAAGTTTTTACGAGTTCCGAAGCCAACGAAGGAAACTTGATGGTCCGTTCCTCTAGTTCCGGCTGCTCCTGACGTTCAGAGATGTACAGCTCACCTAACAACAGATTCACATCTGAAATAAGTTTCGAACCAAATAAGTCACAATTCAAAAGAAAAATCAAAAGAATAAGAAATTGATGAAAATGACAAAAAAAGATATGAAAATAAGAAGAAAATAAAATGAAAACAAGCTTGAAGTTGTATGATTGAGCTCAAAAAATTCAAAGGAAATACTTCATGTGAGAGTAAAAGAATTAAAGACCAGAGTTGAAAATACACTCGCAAAAATGAGAGTTGAAATTACACTCGCCAAAAGAAAATATGAGAGTTGAAATTACACTCGCCAAAGGAAATATGAGAGTTGAAATTACACTCGCCAAAAAGAAAAATCAGAGTTGAAATTACACTCAGCAAAAGAAAAAGAATGAAAAAAGAAAAGACGACAAACCTTCGTCAGGAACATCACCAAGAAGATCCGAAGAAGACGAACCGGTAGCCACATCCATCAGCCCTTCATCGAGCCCAGCCATCGCGGAAAAACTCGAAAAACTTCAAGGAAGACTTAGAAGAACACTTCGACAAGAAAGATTGTGAAATCGGCGGAAAAAGTTCTATGAGAAAACTCGCGAAAAGAAAAAATTAGAAAAATCGGACAAGACACGCGAATCTATCGATCAAAATGAACGCGAAAAAACCTGTGAATGTGATATATTGAATGAAATGTTGAATAGATCATAAAAATTATTTGAATTCAGAAACTGATCACTTCAGAATTCAAATAAGCGCACGTATCAAAAGATAAGGGACCCTCTCACAAACCCTCTGACGTAAAACTTTCAAAATGAAGCTAATGGCCGGGTAACCATTGCGCACGCGAATCCCTGTCATGGCGTTTAAGAGCCGAATGCCCAGTGAAAGAGCACGCCTGGCGGCGGGCTCCTTTACTGGGCAGGGGGGATTATGTTGGGGACTCGCGGCGCACCACCGAATAAAAATCAATTAAAAATATCTAATCGGGTGGAAAACCACCCGCGCGTAAAAAACGGATGAAATCCGTCAACGGTTTCCCCTCCCCAAGAAAAAATAAATTGTTGGGGACTCGCGGCGCACCACCGAAGAAAAATCAATTAAAAATATCTAATCGGGTGGAAAACCACCCGCGCGTAAAAAACGGATGAAATCCGTCAACGGTTTCCCCTCCCCAAGAAAAAATAAAAATTTCTTGGCGCCAAGACGTCTGTCTTGGCGCCAAGACGTCTT